TTTGATCAAGTCGCACGTTTAATAAGATCAATTCTATGAACCGAGTACTGTTACAAAAGTCCAAGGACCAACAACAATTCTTAGGTGCAAAGATAAATATGTAAGGCCTGCCCTGACTTGAGAGTACAAGAAGCTCATTATCCATGTATCCAATGGACTAGCAACAACAGCAGCGCAAATGGATTGTCCATTGTTGAATTTTTCCTCAATTTTACAATTATTACAAGGTCTCATCGATATTTTCACATAGGACAAAAATATTTGCAATATGCATATAGTTTTTTTTATCTCCTGTATATTTTTTATATTACTACGCCATTTGTCGTTGCACTTATTTATTAATTCATTGGTGTTGATTTTACAAATTATGAACTTTAGTATAAATTTTTGGCAGTTAGTGGAGTAAAGTTTCCCTCATTTAGTATGTACATTTTATGCCGTCCAAGAAACTTGAAAACTAGGATACTCGTCAATTATGACACTTTCATGTACTCCCAGCCCAGCACTCATCATTCACTGGGATGAATTACCCAAGAAGAATAATTGGATTGGATGTGTTTTAACTCTGACTTTTTAAACTCACTTGAAACGAGTGTAAGATTTTTTCACAAGTTTTGGTTTGTTATTAGCTGGGGTGGGAAAAGTCAATTGGATTGCTTTGAAATGGAATCCTGTTGTTCTCCTTTTGAACCGAGAACAGTTTCAACCGTCCAGCTCCAGCATTGCTTATTTTACACTTGAAAACCGACCATGCCGACCAACAAATACAATGGGAGCTAACCAATCCAACAATAACAAATATGTTCAACCTATTATGAAACAGTTCTCTTTAGGTACTTAACTTTTTAAGATGCAAAACACAAATCCTGTGATCCATATTTCTTGGCCAATAAATACTTGGATGAACATCATGGAGTAAAGTGTTCACTCGATTTCAAATTCAACATGAGACGATCACCAATATCTGTCATTGTGAAGCTTCTTTATGACCATTGAAAAGAAATCATAATTGTTTCGATGTAAGGAAATGAGACAAGTTTTACTGGAGGTCACCACGGAGTATCTTGTTCCTCCAAAAAGCGATGACCCTGTTGGAGTGACTTTTACAGAGCGGCAGACTGGATGGAGGCTCTTGAGTATTTTCTTTCGCCCGGAAGGGAAACACCTGAGACTTCTCGGCGCTTGTGAAGCCAAAGTATCCCTGCCTGCCTACCTACCTGGCCCTCATATTCCTATTAATATGCTAATAATTCTCATGTGCAACAGTGGTGTGGTCGCTATACATACCCTCCGTCCAACTTTATTTACCGACCAACAACCCATGTTAGCAACAATTCCTATTAACTAACTAACGAACTATTTGTTGTTTGCTTTCCTCTCCCATTATCTATTACCCGACAGTTCAGAGCGCATTACATTACGCAATATTTATCACCAAGTAAATTCCTCCAAGCTATCCACGTATTTACGAACGAATGCTTCTTCCTTGGCCACAATGCAGCCATTACGAGATACACATTTTCCTATTACGATTTTTATTGTTATAGTTTATAGTTATTGTTATACATTTTATTGTGGGAGAGAGGGATCTCTTCACACCGAAGGATCAACAAAGAAGACAACAATGAATAAATAAATAAATATAAGCACATCCAACACTGATTGTTAGGAAAGCATTGTTTTCACGCTGGTTACCTTTATGAGAGAGATGAAATACCAACACAGCGAGCATTGTTTCGAGGGGAGAATGTAAATTTGGATGGGTTCAGACAGAGGGTTACTAATTTTTTGTACATGATTCCTTCCCAGACGTTGTGGAGCTATGTGTAAAATAAGTAAATAGAAAACCTCGCACTGTAAACCTGAGACAACTCGGCATCTTGAAGAGATTGAGATTTTTCGGGATTTCGCCCTCCTTTGCCTCACTCATCATATGAAGAAAGTGCACTAGGATGAACTATGTAAATAGAAATCTATCGCTCTACTAAGTATAATGAAGGTAAAATCCTTTATTGTTATCAATACAACTTGTGTTATTGTTGTAAAGTGTCCGCTCTTCTCGTGCACAGCTCGTTGATGTTGTGCTTGTTGAGACTACGAAATGGATAATGATGAAAACAAGGGAGATTTATTGCGCACGGAAACACATAAATTAAAGCAATCATGAATTCTGAAATTTACAAAAAAATCTTCCAAGTTGATGTCATCCATAGGTTTTCGGTTCTTTTATTGAATTTTTATGCAACTGGCCACGCATTTCGTAGTCTCATCTCAAATGCAGTAGATATCAAATCCAAGTGTTTTGTAAGCTGCTTGATGAGGTCAACTCTTGAACAGTTGTGGAATTATTAAAATGAAATTACATTTGGCTGCATTTTTGGCTTGAAGAACTCGGATTGTGTGTACTTGTTAACTTGTGGGTGTGGCGAACGATTACAAATCATTCCTAAATATTGTTTGTAATGTATGTAAGCTGCACCTTGGTTTAAACGTATTGGTGATTAGCTTTCAAGATTTGTTTGGTGGGTGGGTGAAGAGAGCTTGAAGGTATGCACGAGATGAATTCGTTTGGTCCCAACACTGGGAACAGTAAACGCATACATTATGCATACCACCATATATTATTGGTTAAATCAATACATTGAATCCAATTAGTCCGGTGGAATATCAAATAAAAGTATTAATTCCATTCAGTTTGAGTGAAAAATGAGACACGTCCTTCAACAAAGTTAAACTGCAACTAAAAAAATTTGGTGGTGGTGGGGTTTTGGTTCAGATTGATCACACCTTTTAAGCTTATTATTTATTATTAGACCGTTATTAAATAAAATGCAAATGAAAACTATTCCTGCAAAAAATGTGTAATCCTCGCACTGGAGACCTCACGTCATCCATATGGCCTTATGCAGAATTAGTAAATGTAAGTCCATGTAATATGTAGTTACGACAGAACATGATCAGTAAATAATTTCTGTATTTTGGTAAATTGGAGAAGCTCCATTAGTATTAAGTAGTAAATCATAAACCTTATTTTATGTTAACTTAAAATGTCACTGTTGAGCCATTTAGACGCATTTATTACTCATTTCTATTAATACATTTCTTTATACACTTTCTATTAGTACATTCCGATTGAATTGGGGAAATTCCAGAGAATTCTCGCGTTTGGAATGTGAGGGGCATTAAATATCGTACTTATTCACTGGTGAGCATCAAGGGTACAATATTGATCTTGTCGGTATGGATGACTGCGAGGTGTGTGATTACAAAGGGGGATAATCGAAGGCCCAAATGAAAGAGCAGAAGTGAAAGGTAATTTTTTAAAGAGAGGTTAATCTCACACAAGAGACGCCGCACTGTCAGCCAAAGGCTTTAGCTTTTTTGAGCAGTGGTGTTGGTTATTGGTTGGTGTTGCATAATGGAGTGTAAAAGTCGATCTTGATTACAATGCAGGGATTTGTTTGATGACCCAAAGTGGATGATTGTAAGGGAGACGCAAAACCCTGACGACGACGATGATGTACTTTCGGGTTAACCAATATTGGATTTTCGGGCCTTGTGAAATACTGATCTTTGATCGTAATGATGGGGCTCAGGCAGCTGAGTCTAGCCAGACATCCTCAATTGACTTGACTTCACCTCGTCATCCCCACCCCACTCCTGCCCTCTTCGAAGGAAGGTCGGTATTCCAGAACAGTTCTTGGAAAACTCGATTACTGACATAGTTAACATTCGCCACATAAAATACAAAACTGGTATAAAATTATCATGCACAAAAGTAACACGGTAACAGAAATAATTTAGTAATCTTCAAAGTATTCGATAACCAAAGATGCAACGACCGGAGACAAAACTCTGCTGAAATGTGAAATCCTGTCACTTTGTTTTACTCTAAAAAGATTATTTGTCTACTATTATCTTCCTTCTCGACTAAATGGTTTTTAGGAAAGTCGGTACATTTTTGAGCCTCAAACACAAGAAGGGCTAAGTCAGCGGTTAATAGATGTAGTAATTTGAAAAGTGTAAAAATTGTTGAGTTAAGCTGACCATCGCGTCTCGCATTATTTCGAATATAAAAACGCATCCCTCACTTGATTACAGGGAGATGCAGTTGTACTTGTAAATAGTAAGTAGTTAGTAATAATCTTGATGGTTGGGTTTGAGTTGCAGCAGCATGTCGAAGGTAGTTTTGTTTTGTGGTGTGTGGAATTATACGTACGTACGTAGCCTGAGAATGTCAGTAGTTTGGTTTAGTTTGTTGTATGTTTGTAGTGGGCCGAGTCGATTCTCTTTTGTAAATCCATAAATCTTATTTTTTGTTAGGATTTGCACCCGCTGGTTTGAGGTTCCTTTTGGAATGTTGTTTGTTAGATGCCCAAGGTGTTGATTAAAGGGAGACCGAATGCCGACTTTTCACACCTGTTGCGATTCCAAACCTCTTTGGCCAAGTAAAAACATTATTGCACAAGCTCAAGGTATGTACATACGTTGGTATGTAGCACTTGATATACATAGCAAAATGATGGTAGTAGCTCTTGAGGGACGCACATGTACTGGACATACTTTCTTTTCCGGGATGCCTGCTGGAGGTTAATTTACCTGCAAGACGATAACCATCGATTCGTTACACATGTACCATTCGACATTTTATGTTTTTGCAAACGTGCAAAACTGTTGAAAACATACATTGTTGCAATTTTGTTATTATAATGATATGTAAATGATAAATGCATCAGGCTACGCTCGGTAGCTTATACCCTGCGTGTATGTATCCCTTTGTCTCTCATACACACGCATAATGATATGTATTTGTATTTATCTAAGTACAAGCTCGCAAGAAATAACGTACTGCACTCATGCACCGTCATTTGCGCGCACATTTGTTAGAATTGAGTTCCTGAATCTATATTTTGAAAACAATTCTTATTCAATGAATGACCTGCTCGACGTGTAAACAATGGGAAACAATGGAATCTAGTACACAACTTGTCTTTACCTGGCTTTTAATTCACAACTTTAATCAACTACGTGTATTCAAAATCTCCTTTAGTTGAGTTGATCATCCTGGAATTACGAATTTCCAGGATGACCTTCCACACAACAAAGTTGGGGGTTCTGACCGTGCTAGTTGTTACTGCCCTCCTACGACTCACTCCCGCTTCTGGGCGACAGTTCACCGCCAAAGAAATTGCAGGAGTATTTGCACATGCGGCGAAAAACTACCCCAAAACCATTGGAGAACCTCAAGGCACGTTCACTCTGAAACAGATTTACGACAGTAAAAAGAAAGTGTCGAACTACTACATGCAAAACGACGAGGGAGATTATGACACTAAAGAACCACCAGCGTTTACCAGGAAGAAAAGTGATGTCGGAATCAAGTGGTTGTACATTAAAAAGTCAAAAGATCGTCTGTACAGTTGGGAAAGACAATCTATTGTTGTTTTGAGAAGAGTCCCCAAAACAAAAGACCTCTACTCCGCCATGATAATTCATTTCAGGTACATAATGCGTACGAATGAAATAAATATTGTGACCCCCTAAATTTAAGTTTGTAATGGTAATTATTGTAAAAATTCAAAGAATTTTTTGTAAATGCGACTTCTTAAAAGTCACAAATTAAATTAACTGGACTGAACTGAAGGGAAAATTATTACTTAAAGATGATATTGCATAATTATAGGTTGCTCACGGGAAATAAGATTGTTTATGAATGGGACGATTGGCGACCACGAGGTTACATCCAAAAGACCTCCTGTCCGTGTCAACTGACGGACAAATTCTACCGGTACTGCACCAACTGGACCTATTGCGATTACCAATTCAACATTTACGAACAAGCTGACGATCAAGCGGGGTCGGATGACCGACGTCGACGCGGAGCTGCACAGGCTGAACAAGCCGATGATGTGCGGAATCGAATGCCACCCGGTACGAAACAAACGGTAAGCGTCAATTAGTTAAGTTCAATTGGGAAATTATACATAATTTGTAATCTGAATTGTACTAAATTCCTGAAGATGGGTCCTTTCTTCTGGGACCTTGTTGACGACGAGGTTGAGGCTGGTCAGTTGTACATGCTGCTGAGGGAAGAGTTAAAGAAGGCCCCTTCTAAAGCCGTGTATGAAGATGAGATTGGCACTGTCCCGTTCAGCGGATATGGCGACTGTCCGTACTGGGTGAAACCTGGAGATTTTGACGAAGCGTCCAGTAGTAAAAGTCCTATGCTTTTGCTACTATTTCTGGCAAAGGCTGTGCGAATGCAGTGCATCTTACCGACTGAACAAGATGTGGTGAAAGACTTGATCTCTGAGAAGCTCATGTACTGGGTGAGTACGAAAGCTCATGCACTCAAATATGAGATTATTAAGTATAAGCATTGGTTTTCACGTTGGTTACCTTTAGGACCCCAAAAGAGGAGACGTGTTTTTCAACACCACACACAAGCTGACGTAACGCTCAAAATTGTGGAGTTTTGAGCTATGCATATTTTGCTTACGACAATTTTCCCTCTTTCAGAACCTCCATTAACATTGATGACACAGACTTGGACAATGTTGAGCGAGCGTTGCACATTGCTGCTTTCTCCAGAATTTACAATATGTTGGACAAATCAATCAAGAATGAAAAGGGTTCTGATAAGATTCGAGACGCTGTGTCTCCTCTTGGAAAAAAAATTCATCGCAACACTCGAATGGTGGTCCTCATGTCCATCAAAATTTACGAAATGATTCAAACCAGTTTAAAACAACACGCCGTAAAATTGGTGAAGCGACTCGTTTCGAATTTGAAGGATTCCATCATGCTCAACATTCAGAACTTCATTGCTCTGGAGAAGAAGGACAGGTCCGCTTGTGAGAAGAACAAGGATTGCGCAGAGAAAATGAAGACGATCAAGAAAGACCAAACCCAAATTGTCTCTCTCATCTACTTTTTTCTCTTCGGATTTGACCCTACTACGATAAAAGACATATTTGATGACGAAGAAGGCGAAACATTTGACAAGTGGGACACGCTGGTGAAGTACGGTCAGTTCTATGAATTTCACGTAAAATTCTTGGATCGTATAGCCGGCCTGTACTTTGAAAAAATAAAGGTTTAATATTCATATCGATATTAAACAACCTGGGAAAAAGTAGTCAGCAGTTGGGCGATGATGTGATGCCCGACTCATCAAATTTATTTATTAACTTGATCATTATTACTCGAATAATTGGAATAAAAGAAGAAGTGAATTTTTTTCCAGATCCAGACATGAGCTGAAACTATACAAAGCTTTTTTTAAGACTTCGCTTGTAATGGAGTTGTACAATGCATAGTGAAAGTAGCTTTGATGCACATGAGAAAATCGAATATATTGTTTGTAAATACACGTCATGGGTGTTACACATAATAACATAACAGGTAACATAAGACCTCACTTGATAAGCGAGTATGTGGCGGAGGTGTGCGCTGTGCTTTCCCCCAGTTTTGTTAGTGGTTGGGATCGAGAAGAAGGGTTGAGATGACGGAGGAGGAGAGTTGTTGGTTTTAGTCCAGCACTATTGGTTTAACGCTGAGCAAACAAGGGTCCAATGGAGTTGGAAGAAAAACATACATTGCTTCGAACGAATCTTCTTGTCGAACGAATCCACCCTCCAAACTCGTCTTTAGTCCTTAAACAAACAAATCCCGACATCTCCTCCATAGGCCATTTTATCACTTTTTCACTCTCCTTCCGCTTCGGCATTTTACTTAGTATTTAATAAAATTTTTTCCCATCGGCCTGTTTACTTTATGGAGCTAAATTGGTAATGACTGTGAACCCCATGGCGTTGTGATCCCTTATGATACAATTTGTGTCGGCATTGCATAATGTCCGCATCGGAATTTGGCAAAATCACGCCTATCACGGAAAATGTGCTGATGTCATGAACAAATGTTGTTAAGCATAGCATTAGAGTTGGTAGAGTTTAAATTATACATGCTAATAGTGTGAGGATTACGAAGCAGATTAAATATTTAGCTCTATACTGCGTTACGATGCATTTCACATTTTGCTCACCAGCAAACAACCACGGCAGAATACAGATTCTCATTACATGAAATCACAGGATAACAATAATTATTCCGTTCCCGTGACTTTGAATCTGATAAGGAATTCCTTGTGGTGGTGACGACAATGACCCGTTCGTGGCATGTTGGCCTACGTAAAATCATGAACAATTACCGAGGTTTTTCTGGCTATGTATTGAGTATATTTAAATTATTGAATTCCAGTATTAAACCAAATTGCTTTGCTTCTAAATACAAAGTTTTATACAAACAATTTAAATAGTGTTCATTTGAAAAGGGTGCTCTGAATTGTGAATGCATTTGAGTAAATCTTGTTTCCCATTAGTGTGACATTATAGCTGACGTAAATTCCTTCTTTAATAAGAAGCTTATGTACTCTGATGCAACACAAGTCGCAAGCTTTCCACTTTAAATGTGTACTAGGAGACACGAATGAATTATCATGTGTCTCCTCGTATCTACTTATTTACAGCAAATATTGTTTTTCTCTGACTGCATACCTTACTCGTTTCTTGCTATTATTATTCATGTAGAGATAAGCCTCATCGGATTGAAGCATGACGTTGATGGACTAAAAACCAAGTCCGAACCAAAAAACTGCCTAATTCCAAGTCAGTAACCAACCAATGCAATAGCAGTAAAAAATGCCTATGAAATGAACTGAAAATGTGTGGTTCCATCACGTAGCAAATTGCCTCCTCTTTTTATGCTCCTCTTGATAGGAAATACAGTAATTGAAGAAATGAAATCTGTTTATACAATGCACGCATGAATACAATATACTCAAGTCAGAGTTTTTTAGTGCGTTATCATCATGTTCGTTGTCGTCGCCGTCGTGATGTCGACGAGATGGAAGAGTATGTAGTCACGGTTTGGGCATGATTTACGAGTTATTTTGCCTAATAACAGAAACAAAACGATATGAATGTTCCCTGTTCAATCAGATTTAATACGATCGCAGATTGCAGATCGGTTTTTAGTAGTCGTCATCAGTAGTTTGTGCAGTCTAGACTTGCATTTTAGTTTGATGGGATTAGATCAATTATTTGACTAGTATTCGCTGTAGTATAAATTTATATAAACAACAACACCCACCCACATGGGTTGGAATAACAATAAAACATTTTAAGGACTGCATTTTTTCCAGAGCCCAAAGATTTAACGATGTGTTGGCCCACCCATTTTCATCAGACAGCAGTCGAGTCTTTAGTCATATTCCTCAACATTGTTTCCTCTTGGGATGAGCATTTAGTTTATTCTTTTGTAAGTAGTTTGGCTTGACTCGAGTTCTGTTCTTGAACGAAATTTATTATTGGTTTATAGCAGTTTGGTTTAGATTGGCCGTCATGATGAAAAACTCTCCTCTCGTAAATACTTGTTAAATATCTACCTACTCGATGTTAGTATTTTGTGTCGTGTCATTTTCCTCTATTTTACGATCAGTTTAGTCCAACTCGGACTGGTGGTTGTTATGTATGTACAAAGTTTAGTGCGAGCAAACAGTTTATTTATTCTTATGGCATCACAAATTCTGTCTTTGGCAAAGGAAAGCCGGTTTATTGCTTCTTTGTCCCTGCGGGACCTTATTACAAGCCTTGTTGGTGTGTGGATGAGCATTATGAAACTTTTAATATCGCTAAAAGCTCCATAAATTGCAACGCTTTAGGAGCTTTCAAACATTTATTCTTGAATTTATGCTCAAAGTCATGCTTTTAGAAATCCTGCGTGTGTGTAGCAATAACAAATTGTTGTGCATATTACTAATAATAAAATTAACAAGCAGAGCTGTTTAGCAGTAAATATGGCGCTGGACATTTTACTTCATTTCATACGAATGCAGTTGTGATCTGTGCCTCAGTAAATTATTTATTGGTGGATGGATGGAATGGAATGGAGGTGTCGGGTCATTTGGAAAATAAGCAGCCACCACCTACACAAGACACTTCTCATCACTACAAATTACAGGAGGTAACCCTAACCTTTAATTAAGTGAAATGAAATCTAATCTGGTTGATCCACGAAAGGATAGAGTGAAAAAATAGTTTATGTGTCGGAGATATCATTTATTTTTATTTGATGCGATCGAGACAATGGAAACAATAATAATGCTGCTATGTCATGTCAGGCAAATCATCATCATCATCGTCGTCGTCGTCGTCGTTGAATTGAATTAGCCGACTGACTGAAGCAGTTTAAGTCCTGCCATCATGCCAGTTGTTGGGGTTGTCGATTGCTCGATTAAACATCGAATTTGAAACCGATACAAGGCGAGATAAGGATTCAGCCAGGTAGGGTGAGCAGACGCGGCAGAGAAAGAAAGTCATTAGCCTAAAATTATCTACTGGAGGGCATACAAATTTCTTCTTATCGCTACACGTTTATAAAATAATAATATGTAATCAAAAAATTATTATTATTTATGCAACTTCCCGCAGCACACCTAATGATCCGGCTAATAATCTTTTCTGAACCTCTTTTGTTTGTGATTGTATCTTTCACCGTCAACATCAAATTCAAATCAGAATGAACATCGACCAGCCTGCAATATGACCAGCCAAACGCAGACGTACGAATTCTCAATCTCCTCCTGACTTGAATTCCAAGTTAAATGTGACGATAAAACATGGCCTCGAAATGGCTCATGAAATATGAGGAAAATTCGTTTAGTAATTTTGCTTCATAATAATACATAATATTTCAGATTTCATTATCATAGATCATCTTCCCCAATGGCAATATATTTACATAATGTGCAGAGATTGAGGGACGAGATACACCTTATTTCCTACTAAATACAACTATCAGTATGGGCAAGTCAAGTGATGTGTATCAGTGATTTGGAGAAAAAATGACTAAATTCTGACTAAATTATCAGGAAGTATTACATAATAATAAATATTATACTTTCATATTTTGCCTGACTAGCAAAGGAAATATTTGGATTGGATAAAAAATCCAGTAACAATATAAAAATCGGTAGTTTTGTGATAATAAAAAGTTACGTCTCCTATTTAAGCAATAAAGCAGTATAAATTTGATCGAAAATTGCCAATCGTCCTCTCACCTCACTCATCTCGCAGAGTTATGATTACAGACAGGGATAATTTTCAGGTGTGTAATGATCACCTGAAATAAAGAAAATGACAGGGCAATGTTCCGAAATGTGACAAGTTTTTAAAATCATGCACTCGCTCCACGAACCGAACCACGCTCATGTGGATAATAATGTTTAGCAGTGCTGACCACCAGACCAGAGGCAATCCAAATTCCGTCATGTTCTTCAAAATAATCAGTCCATTTTCCACTTGAGTCATTTCCAGGTGAAATTTTTAAACCTCGATCGCCGTCGTCCATCTAATACAATAATGATTACAAGATTCATCACCAACCATTCATACACCATAATTTCTTATTTAGTGGTGTGGCTCGGTGATGCGATGATATGTTATTATTTTTATTATTACGATTACTGTCTCTGTCCAATCGAGAACATTATGACACGATCGGTAAAATCGTAATGTAAAATAATAATCTTGTAATCGGTGATCAAATTTCATAATTTGAAACGACAGGTTACATAATAGAAGCTCCTTTCTCGTTCCCGTCACATCTTGGTGAGTGAACTGCATAATTGTAGACGAGTAATGCTCTATCCGAGCAAATTGTAAGTGCACGGACATGAAATGAAAAATTAACTTGTGAACATGAGCATTCGAATATTAATAATGATACACTCCTTCTGCTGCTATTACAGCTATTACTAAGTGTTAGGAAGGAGTAACGATAAACCAAAAAAACCTCGGTTGCTGCTAAAGAAGTCTAAAATCACAAACCACAAATTGCATTACAAGAATGATACTTATAAGGAATGCATGAGTATTATGGATGGATTGAATTGTTGTGGCTTGAGAAGCAGCAGAGGCAGTAGGCGTTGGATGGAAGAAGGGAGAAGAGCAGGTGTAAATCACCATCAACCACACTTTGTCTTGTCTTTTCGACTATCATTATCAACACATCACATTTTGTGACTCGAGAAGATTATCATAATAATGATTATCATCACCTTCTTCTCATCATCTCTCTCTCGCTCTCTGGCTCTAATCTAGCGTCCACCCTTCTGGCTGGTAGTTGGTTTGGCATGCAA